CCCCTGCTGTGGGATAAGCTAGTGCCAGGCCAGTTCCTTTTGGACCAAAGAGATCCTAGGGTTCCCTGCCCCAGTGGCCATAATCCCTCTATTCCAGCCATTTCTCCAACATTCAAGATAACCATTCTTGTTTCTTACACATTTATCTTCAGCTGTTGTGGTTGTTTTTAATACTTACCTTTATTTTATGTTATGTTATGTTATGTTATGTTATGTTATGTTATGTTATGTTATGTTATGTTATTTTTCTAGACCGGGTATCCATGTAGCCCCAGCTGGAACTGTCTAAGTAGACCAGGTTGTTTTTGAGCCAGGGTCTTGCTGTTGTGTAGCCCTGGATGGCCTGGAACTTACTATGTAGACCAGGCTGGCCTTGAGCTCACAGAGCTCCGCCAGCTTCTACTTCCCAAGTGCTATATATTTGGGAGTGGCTTTTGGTCACCTGATGTGGGTGCTGGGAACTGAACTCAGGTCTTCTGCTAGAGTAGTATGTGCTCTCTCCAGCCATCTCTCCAGCCCCTTCAACTGTTTTTGAACCAACTGTTCCTTCTACCTGAGAGAACATTATAGTCTCCTATTTTCTTAGTGAGCTCTTATTCATCCTACAAAACACAGCTCAGACTGGCCTTCCCTGTGAAGTTTTCCTTGAACACTTGCATTCCCATCCCAAGAGTCCTGGCATCCAGGACACCAGTCCCCTCCCTCTGAGTGGCTTTGTCCCCAGTCACTGTGACAATAATGAGAAGGGGACTAAGATGGTGTGGGTCAAAAATGGCAGCTTTGCAGCCATCTTCCTCCTAAGGCCCAAGAGCACCAACAGCTGAGGGCACATCAGAACCAAGAGGCATGAGATACCATCCAACAGCCCCTGTGCAGAGCAAACTGACTCAGGAAAGGCAAGGAACCTACTTGGGGACACCTGGTGAGAAAGGACACAGCTGAGCTCAGAACCCATCCTGGCTGGCACACAGCCTCTAGCCCACACTGCTTCATGGCACGCTCCTGTGGGCAGGCCCCTCCACATGGTGGCAGCCTGTTCCTTTTGCAATAATCACCTCTGCCACTCTGTGAGCCTCCTTTTCAGTCAGCATTTCTTTCTACCCTCTCCATTCCCCTCCAAACCACCCAGTCCCCCAGGCCCATCCAGAGAACACCATCTGGCCACAGTAATAGTATCCAAGCTCTGCTGACCACCAGGTATGACCAGTCTACTGAAACTCAACTGAACTGGCCCCATGTCTTTGCATGCTGTGGATTTGAAAAGGTTTGTTAAAATCTGACCCAGGACTGGTAATATGGCTCAGCGGGTACAGGTGCTTACCACCAAGCCTGACAACCTGAGCTCGATCCCTGGAACCCACATAGTGGAAAGAGAACTGACTACTGTGAGTTGTCATCTAGCCTCCACATGTGCACTGTGGCAAGTATGCACAGGCACGTATACACACACACACACACACACACACACACACACACGCACACACGCACACACACACACACACACGCACACACACACACACACACACACGCACACACGCACACACACACACACACACGCACATGCACACACACACACACACGCGCACACACACACACACGCACACACACACACACACGCACACACTAATGTAAAAAACAAAATACAATCTGACCCAGGCCCAGAGTCCCCCAGTCACCTGCCACCATGCCTGGCACTTCCCCTCCAATGCCTCCAAACTCCTTTGCTTTTCCCACTTGGAGATCCTTCTACACCTAGGTCTTGGCACCTGCTAGCCTTTCTGGAATGCTCCAAATTGTATCTCTCTGAAAGACTTCCAGCCCTCCTTTAGAATCTCATCTGGATACCACCTCCTCTAAGACTTCTGAGCTGTCCCCCTACTCCCAACAGGACCATCCCTAAGCCCAGCTTCCTCCGGACTGCCTCCCTCCACTGCACCTGCCTGTGGGCACCCAGAGGGCAGAAGTGATGAGATGCAGATACCCTTTAATGGCCACACCCTCACACAGGGCTGAACCTTGCTAGTCAGGGTTTATTTCCCCTCCTAAGGGACATGTTGTCATCAGTCCCCATTTCACAAGTGGGAAAACTGGGGGAGCAAAGTGTGAAGCTGCTGCCCCTTCTCCAACTAATGGAGGGGCAGAGCAGGGACCTGAACCTAACCCAGTGTTACCAAGCTCCTGCTTGACACATGCTGGCTGGAGTGGATGGTGCCCCTAGAGACAGAGCAGAGAAGCCTGTGCTATACCCGTCAGTTTGGCAATCAAGGAGCAGCAACAGTGACAGATTTGCCCCTCCCCTGCATCTGCCTGGTGATGAGCAGGACAGCACTCAGCAGGAAGGCTAAGGCAACAGGGTGGGCACCATCCTACCAGGTGGTAAGTGGGCAAACAGCATGGACCCACCTGCACCTCCACCTGGCTCCAGCTACTGATGCTGCGGGGCCCACAGCCAGTCTCTTAGCCTCTCTGAACTTCTGTCTCCAAACTGTCAACACTCAGAATGTAAGTACTGATAGAAAGACTTGGGTCTTCAAGAAGCCAGTGGATGGAAAGACACCAGACCCAGCGCAGACCCAACCATCGCACAGCACTGCATGGGTCCCGCCTTCTCCTAAGGAGAGGTATGACTTCACTGACATAGCTCTAAGACAGCATCATGTTAAAAGGACTGAGAGGAAAGCACACACACACAGTCAGGGACACCAGAAAGGATGGCCTGGTCCAGCTACCGGAAGCTTACAGATATGAGTCATACAGACAGTACTGACTAATTATCTAACAGGCTCTAGATTAAGAGACCAAGAGGGTGGTCAAGGGGTGTGAAGGCATCAGTCAGGTGCCTGGCTTGGGACTGAGCAGGCATAGATGCTGAGACACCCATCACTTCCAGCTCTCATTAAATGATTAGCGTTCACAGGGCACCCAGCACCCAGCCTATCCTGGCAGAGGATCCCCTCCTTCTAGGGCACAAAACTCCTGTCTCATGCCCCACTCTCTTCTTCTAAGCTAGAGTGGGGCATGCTAGGAGAATCTTGCCTGTCTCACCCAGCATATCACCATTCTCATACGGCCTCTCATTCTGCAGTTCTTTAATTACAACATAGTCTGCCTTTGAAAAGAGGGTTATCTATAGCCACTCACACCTTAGTGTGAATTCTCAAACTAAAGTCAAGGGAACAGACATTATGTTGGTGTTGTACAGAAGGTGGCCTGAGGGGATTTTGGATAACCAAGAGACAGAATCCTAGACCCAAAGGAAGCAAGGAAACCAGAGTGTCACAGTTCTAAGGACACCCCAAAAAGGACCTGGTGGTTTTACCCACATCCTATTGAAGACACCAGGTGCCAGGGTCTTCAGATGTGATTGAAGCTCTGGGTCCATCTCCTTCCACCCACTGAATGACCGTGGTGAAGTCACCTGTGCCCTTTGAGTTTGTTTTCTGTGTGGATCATGCCTGGAGCCACACACCAGGCCTCCTCTAGGCTCAAGGAAGCCTACAACTGCAAACACACCATGAAACACACACGGAAGATTTCACCATTAACAAGGAAAGAGGATGCCAAAGTGTCCATCTGTCCTATGACCCATGCCAATACAATCCATCTAACTTAACAGCCATGAGAGCTGCCAAGGACTCATAAACACAGGGATAATGAAAGCCCCTTGCTTCAAAATCGCACATGGCTTCTGCCCATATGGGCACAGAAGACAAAGAAAGACCTGTGGTGCTGCCTCATGCCACCTGGCTAGATCTTTGAGGGAAGAGAGATTATAACCAAGTAAAGGAAGAATGAAATGGCCCAATCAGAGAGCCCACCAGGGACTAGAGAGCAGACAGCAGCCCAGCATACAGCCCTGGGCCCCTGCACCACCTGAGCAACAAGCCCACAGTGGGGTCGCCTTCTATAGCTCCTGTGGGGAGAAGAGGGGCCAGGCAGCTGTGTCACTTTAGAACAGAGGGAGAACATGAGAAGTTCAGAGGGAACTCTAGGAATACATTCACCAGAGGACACCAAACCCTTGCAGAAAGCTAGGGGACACAACAGTCCTGAGAAGCACAGGTCCTTGGGCCACTCTGGCTGCTGTGTGACCCTAGGGACACAAGGAGTCAAGGAAACCTCTGGGTTTCCCCAGCCAGGCTAATCTGAGATCAAGTAAGGGCCCGGCCCTTGGTGACAGCTCTGTCCCCACTGCTTTGCTATCATGGCCTGTGCTGAGGCCCAGCCTCCTCTACCCCACGCCACAAGCCCAGCTGCCACACAGCAACCCCACATATTGTGCTCCCAGAGGGCCACACAGACCTCTATACCCCAAGCCCTCCTGCCCCAGTTGCCCCATCCACTCTCTCACAACTTAAGAATTCCCCCAAATACGGGGGTCCTTAAGACCATGGGATGGGGATTTCAGACAGCAAGAGGATGCACCAAAGTCGGGGTTCCTCCCCATTTTCTATCTTGCCATCCTCTGCCCAGGAAGAGGCAACAGAAGAAACCAGTTTTTGGCAAACTTCTCCCTTGCCATTTTGCCCAGGCTACCCCTGTGCCTACCCATGGGTCCTCCCCAGAGCATGGTAGGAGGAAGACATACGTGGACCCAATCACCTTGAGGCCTGTCACTGAAAAGCATCCCTGGCTACAGTGAGGGAGGAGCCTTGGCAAGTCATTCTCATTTCCATTAGAGATATCAGTTTAAATCTGGTTGGCAGGTCCTTAAAAGTTAACATCTTCAGGTTCCACCCACATCGACTTTTTTTTAGCCCAGGCTAGCCTCAAACTCATTATATAGCCCAGACTGGCCTAAAACTCTTCTTGGGGTAAGCATGCAACACCACACCTGGTTCTTAATCCCAACACTGGCAATCCTCAACCTGACCATCTTCCCATCCACAGGGTAGAAAAAACAAAATGGGCAGAAAATCCAAAGACTTCCATCAAAGCACCCACATCTGTCCCCATCAGTATGGCCCACAGCAACAAGCAAGGAGAAAACATATGCCAACCTGAGAATTCACCCGGAGCAGTGATGAAGGAGTTGGTGGCCTCGGTTTCAGTGTAAGACAATGTGGAATCGGACAGATCTGTAGGGGAGAGAAAGAGCACTTAGTTAGCTAAAAGGCACCCCTCCTTTTCCTTTCTCAGATACCTGTGCATGTATACATACACGCAGTGGGCAGATATCCCTCACAACTTTTTTTTTTTTTTTTTTTTTGAGACAAGGCTCCACTATGTAGCCCTGGCTGGCCTCAAATGTAGACAAAGCTGGCCTCCAACTCAGAGATCTACCTCCCAAGTGCTGGGATTAAAGGCATGCACCATCAACTCCAGCTTCCCCCACCGCTTTGGTCTCTTTGAGACAGGGTTCCCTGTAGCCCCAGCTGGCATGGAATTCGCTATGTAGACCAGGCTGGCTTCGATCTCATAGAGATCCACCTTTCTCTGTCTCCCAAGTGCTGGGACTAAAGCATGCATCACCTTTTTTTTTAAACTCATTTTGAGAAAAAAAAAAAAATCTCATATATTCCAGGCTGGTCTTGATCCCAATTTGTCAAGGATGACCTTAAACTCCTGATCTTCCTGCCTCCACCTCTCAAGTGCCAGGATTACAGGTATGCACCACCATGCCCAGTTTATGAGGTGCTGGGGATAGAACCCAGGGTCTCATGCATGCTAGGCAAGCACTCTACCAACTGAGCTACATCCCCAGTCCCCCTCATGACCTGATATCACTCTGTGACTCAGTCCCAGGATCACCAGAGGCCAGGACAACCTTCCAGTCCTAAAACTCTTCTAGAAAAATCCTGACTGCACAAACTGATACCTGGGAGAGTCTCAGTGGCCCTGACCACAGAAATAACCCTCTGTTCAGTAGACAGAGCAAGTACCAACTTGAAGCCTCTTTGGGTAAGGTTAAATTAAGCCCCTGAACAGTTCATAGCTGCTGAACTTAATTACAACCATTAAAATTCTTGAAGCTGTTCCTTCTTCCTTCCTTCTCTCCTTCCTTCCTTCCTCCTGAAGCTGGGGAGACTGTTATAACAAGTCACCAGTCACTTTCGTTCTGTTCTGTCCCACCAACACTCCAATTAAGAGCTCAAATGTTTGTTCTCAGATTAACTTTCTTTCTCTCACTTCCCTCCTCTCCCCTCCCTGACAACATCCAAACCTGCAATGGAGTTAGGGCTGCTTTCTAAAGGCAAGGCATTCACTCTTGGTTTTTGTTTTGTTTTTATTATTTTTATTCTATGTTATGAGTATATTATCTGCATGTGCGTAAGTGTACCCATGTTGTGCAGTGCCCACAGAGGTCAGAAGAAGGCATCAGATCCCCTGGAACTGGAGTTACAGATGGTTGTTAGCCACCATGTGGGTGCTGGGAATCAAACCTGGGTCCTGTATAAGAGCAGTTAGTACTCTTAACGACTGAGCCACCTCTCCAGCCCCAGTTTAATGTACTTTTTCTTCTTCTTCTCCTTCTCCTTCTCCTCCTCCTTCTCCTTCTCCTTCTTCTTCTTCGAGACAGGGTCTCCCTGTAGCCCCAGCTGTCCTGGAACTCACTATGTAGACCAGGCTGGCCTAGAACTCACAGAGATCTGCCTGCCTCTGCCTCCCAAGTGCTAGGACTATAGGCGTGCGTCACCAAGCCCAGCTCGTATTTGTTTATTTTTATGTGTGTTTTGCCTGCATATATATAAGTACACCACATGTATGCAATGCCCATGGAAGCCAGAAGAGGGTCAGATCCCCTGGAACTGGAGTTAAAGATGGTTGTTAGCTGCCATCTGAGTGCTGAGAACTGAACGCAATCCTCTGCAAGCACAGCTAGTGCTCTTAACCATTGAGCCATCTCTTTAGTCCAAATGCTTAGGGCTTTAAAAAACAGGCTTATGAAAGTACTTGATAAGACATGCATTATCTGTTGTCTCCTGCCTACAGTGCATGGAAATGGGAGAGAAATTCTTCAGCCCCCTTCTCTTGAACAGGAACCTCTGGCTTGACAAGCTGACACCTTTGGAACAAGTAAACTTGGGAATTTCCTTCTCTAGGTGTGGACCTCTGCAATCAGCAATGCAGGGTTGTCCACACTAAGAGACTGGCCTGTCCAGGCATTGAGAGGCATGGTCCTGGAGGCCTGTTCTACGCACCCAGCACAAGCCAGATCTGGCTTGACTGGCCCTAACTGGCCCAGCAGAGCCAGAGACCGGTCAGGTATTCCTGGGACAATTCAACTTAGGCCCTAGCTAGCTGGAATTCCATTCTATCCTGCAGATTTTTTTGTTCTTTTACCACATGGCCAGGGGAGCGGGAAAGATGAAACATTAACCAATTTAGCTTTTGTTTGGGGGTTGGGTTTTTTTGTTTTGGGTTTTTTGTTGTTGTTGTTGTTTTGCATTTCCTACTTGCCAGATGCTGACTGGTCTCATGTAATGAGAGAAGCTCAGAAGTGAACTGATTTTTGTTTGTTTATGTGCTTATAAAAAAGCAACAACTTTTCAAGGAAAAGAAGATTTTAAGAGGCAAAACCTGTACTATTTTTATCAAGGCACCCCAAAAAATTTACCTGATAATTTGGGAAGAAAATAAAGGCATGAAAAATCTTTTCAAAATAACAAAAACACCTTCAACACTAAAGTGGGGGAGTTCTTAAATTTTTGAATTATGTGTGTGCGCAGGTTCACATGTGTACATGCATATTATGTGCATGTTGTTTGCACATGTGTGTGGACACCAAAGGTAAACCGTGGGTGGCATTCCTCAGGAACCCCTTACCTTGTTTATTGAGTCAGGGTCTCTCACTGGCTGGTGGGCCAGCAAGCCCCAAAGGTAACTCCTTTCTCTACCTACCCAGCGCTGGGATTGATGGCATGTACCACCACACCCGACTTTTTTTTTCCCATGTCCTAAAGCTACTGACTGAGCTCTTCCACTTAATACCTAATGTCCCCTGTGCAGCATGCCTAGAGCCTCATCACCCTTCTCATCTGAAGGACTGGCATCAGGTTGTAGGCTGTGTCCTGTTTCTTAATGAACTGCTATGGCACCAACACAGCCCAAAGAGGTTTCCAGAAGGAGGAGGAGGGGCAGGTGGCTTCTACTTTCACAGCTGCTGAGTTCTTGTCACATCCTCACCAAATCCTCACCAAACCCTCACACCTAGAGCCTCCACTGAGGTCCTCAAAGGTGGCTGTGCTGCAGCAGCTGTTACAGAGACCTCGCTCAGCTTTCATAGTCCACCCCAGTCCATGGAGGGTCCCTGGGTAGGAGCTAGAGCCTAGGTTCAAGATGTACTTCCAGAACAGTCAGCATTATCAGGGGTCACCCCCTTTTTCTATAAAGGGTCAGAGAGTCAGGGAGTAAGCACTCACTTTTGAGAACCTCACAATCTGACCTACCTGTTGGACTCTGCACTTCACAAGAGGGGAGCCAGGGCAGTGTGAGGAGATCAGCTGCCTGTGTACCCTGCCCTGTGCCTTCCTGCCACTTGAGTTTCATATGCCTTTCACATGTGAAGAAATGTTCTTGCAACTTTATTTTTTTTAACCATTTAAAAAATAATAAAAAGAGGCAGGGTGTGAATTCAAGGCTAGCTTGGTCTACATGAGTTCCAGGCTACCCCAGCTACAGAGTCTCAACAAAATAAAACAAAACAAAAAATAAAACAGAGTCAGCCATAGTGGTGCATGACTGTAATCCCAGCACAGTGGAGGCTGAGGCAAGAGGATGGAGAATTTGAAGTCAGCCAGGGTTGCAGAAAGCACCCCATCTCAATCAATAAAACAACTCAATAGGGGCTGGAGAGATGGCTCAGCGGTTAAGAACACTGGTTGTTCTTGCAGAAGACCTGGGTTCGAGTCCCAGCACCCACATGGCAGCTAACAACTGTCCGTGGCTCCAGTCCCAGGGGATCCAACAGTCTCTTCTGACCTCCACGGGCATTGCACGACATGGGTGCACTTGTCTACATGCAGGCAATGCATGCATACACATAAAATAAAAATAATAAATACAATTAAAAAAAACTCAATAGTCATTCTTAGTTTTCAAGTCCTATAAAAAACAAATGGCAGGGAAGCTCTGTGACCCCTAACAAGGGTCCTGTCTGCTTGGTGGGCCTCAGTTGTCCCACCTATGAAGTAATGGGGACACCTGCAGGGCTTAGTGGTGCCCTGGCTTTTTTGTTTTATCACAGTCCGACTGACAGTCCCTTGGGCAAGGATCCCACCCATCAGCTATCAACTTTTGAGTCTAAACTAGGGGTCTTCTATGGGACTGATGGTATTGTGCTGGCTTAGGGATGCTGAGGAGGGCCTGTAGCAGAAGGATGGGGAGCTGAGGCCTGAGTGGGCTACCCTAGGTTGCTATCTCAGCTCTGAAACACTCTGCTAGGGCCCCCTCCCCTCACTCAGCTGGGTCCCTCCATGACCCAGGGAAGTAGACTCCAGATAGGACCAGGAACAGAGTAAGCTCACTCTGTGGCCACTAGGGAATGTTCTAGCACTTACACCATGCCATCTGACTTTGGAGACCTGAGCCTCACAAGAACTCCCTCACAAAGTCCCTTTGGTAAGTCTGTTAAGGCCATCTCACCTGTCATTGGAACTCCACAGGTTCTAGCTCTGTACTAAATCTACTGGAGAGAGCCAGGCTGGGGGGTAGGGGGGGTCAGGGCATCTCTGCTTTTAAAACTACATGAGTTAAAAGCCTGGAGAGATGGCTCAGCAGTTAAGAGCACCGGTTGGTCTTGCAGAGGACTCGGGTTCAGTTCCCAGCATTCACATGGCTGCTAACAGCCATTCTAACTCCAGTTCCAAGGAGGATCCAACACCCTCTTCTGGCCTCTGGGGGCATTATGCATACGAGGTCGTGGTACACTTACATATATGTAAGCAAAAGGCACACATAAAATAAAAATAAATAAGGGGTTGGAGAGATGGCTCAATGGTTAAGAGCACTGACTGCTCTTGCAGAGGACCTGGGTTAGGTTCCTAGCCCCCACATGGCAGCTAACAACTGTCTATAACTCCAGTTCCAGGGGATCTGACACCCTTTTCTGGCCTCCGGGAGCACTGTACACATGTGGGGCAAAATAAATACTCATACACATAAATAAATCAAAAAATTTAAAATGATAAATATAAACTTTTTAAAACATTTTAAAAACTTTAAAAACTACATGGTTCTCTGTGAGGTCAAGGCCAGCCTGGTCTACATAGCAAGTTCCAGGCCAGCTGAGGCTACAGGGAGACTTGTTTCAAAAAGACCAAAATAAAAAAATTTTTTAAAAAACTAAATGGGTGCACCTCAAAACATGAACTGACATTTAGCCCCAAGGGTGCACAGAAAACATGCTTTACTTTTGCACAGGACTTGTCTAAAATGACATAGTCCCTCTACAAGCTCCCAGAACTTCGGTCTTTATGAACCCCTACACTTTCCATTTACCCAGGTGACTATCTTGACTTGGGGGTGGCCTGTGTACAAGACAGACATGGTCCTCTCAACAAAGACTCCTGGCCCCATCTGCCTGTCACACTCCCAGTTAACACACACTGATGGCAAGCAACCCAAGGCTGGAGGGAGGAAGGGAGGGAAAGAAACCCAGAAATTCCAACCCACCTCCAAAGAGCAGCTTAAGTCGGAACCCATTCATCTCCCACAGGCCCAGGTTTAAAGGTCACAGAGAGGTTAACAATGGGCCTGGAATTCGAAGATGTAAATAACTGGGCCAGAGCCTGGGCCCAACCATGGGAGTGTGTGTAAAACTTCACCCTATTTCAAAGCACTCATGCTTTTGGCCCACCCCTCCAGCCAGGGGGAGTGCACACTTACCCAGTGGCTTGTACTCATCAGGAGGAGACAGCCGAGAGTAGGGGGGTGGCGGTGATTCTGGAAGACAGGAGATATCATGTCATGCCTGGGGTTCCAAGTGCTTTGAACTATGGGTCTCCTCAAGTAATAACCTCAGACCCAGGCAGTCTCCCCACTATCTCTATCATCCAAATTCACTGGTACAGAAACCCCAGGGCTCAGTCCTTAACTTCTGCCACCTATGATCATGTGAACTTGGGCAAGTTCCCGCACCTCTCTATTTCCTCTACTATAGAGCAGTAATAATAATCACAGACCTCTAGGTTTTGCCAGAAGGACAAAAGATAATGTATGTAAAATGCTTAGCACAGCTCTTGGCTGGGAAGAAAAACACCCCCACAAACAGCACCTTTATTATTATTATAACTAGAAGCCAGCACTCGGGCTGCTAGATAACACAAGAGGCTCAGTTCTGTTTGAATTTGGGGTAAACATGGCATAAGGTTTCTTGGTATGAGCAGATCCCTCGTAATACCTAGGATATACTTATACTGAAATATTATTCTGCTCCTGTGAAATTAAAATTGAAGGGGGCTTCCCCCATTTTATTTTCTGTGTCTGGCAAGCCCAGTCAGAGCTCAGGAGACCCAGACATGGAAACTTGGTTGCTAAAAAAACAAAACAAACAACAACAATAAAAATTAAAAAAACCAGTGGGGCATGGTGGCGCACACCTTTAATCCCAGCACTAGGGAGGCAGAGATAGGCAGATCTCTGTGAGTCCAAGGCCAGCCTAGACTACATAGTGAGTTCCAAGTCAGCTAGGGCTACAGGGAGACCCTGTCTCAAAAAGACCAAAAAAAGTTAAAGAAGGCATCCTGGGTCCTATAAAATTATAGTTATATGCCGTGGTCTGAATAAAAAAAAAAAAAAAAAAAAAAAAAAAAGGAAAAAAAAAAAAGAAAAAATTAAAATTAAAAATTAAAAAAACAACAAAAAAACAGTCCAACCAAGATGGCTCAGCAGGTAAAGAAGCTTGCCACCAAAATTTAAAACCTGAGTTTGATCCCAGAATCCACACAGAGAGACCGATTCCTTCAAGTTATCCTCTGACCTCCACATGTGCACCAGAGCACTAGCACTCTTACACACACATCCTATATACACAATATAATGATAAATTTAGAGGCTGAAAGATGGCTCAGCAGTTAAGAGCACTGACTGCTCTTGAAGAGGGCCTAGGTTCAGTTCCCAGCACCCACATGGCAGCTCACAACTGTCTATAACTACAGATCCAGGAGATCCAACGCCCTTTTCTGGCCTCTGAGCACTGCATACATTTGGTGCACAAACATAGGTACAGGCAAACACTCATATACATAAAAATTAAAATAAAAAAAAATTAAATAATACATTTTTTAAAATTTAAACTGCATTAGAACCACCATTCATAGGCGTAAGGATGACAGCTGGACTGACTGGGGCCCTCAGGTATGTCCATAAGTGGCCTTAAGCCAGTCACTTCTAGCCCCTGGCCTCCTTTGGAAAGGGCAGGAATGAACCCCAGCTCAGCCTCTCTGATCCTGATTTTCTATGGTGTTTTCTTTGGACTGTCTTTCATTTGCCTAAAATACTCCTCCTTAAAAACATATACTTTGCCCTCAGAGGAGTTTCTTTGCCTCTTGCTTTAAGGGAAGTAACAATCTGCTAAACTAAGTAACAATTTGCATGAAAGAAATGACCCTCCATTTTCTGTCAATGAAACTAAATACCATCAGAGAGCAAGCTAAAGCAAACTCTGAAGAAATAAAGGGTTAATAACTATTATTAGGTGGGTATCAGGAATGACACAGGGCTAATAAGTGTTTTCCCAATTATAATAAGTCACAATTAGTTACAGGAGCATTAGTCTCCATCTCCCCTCCCTAGCCTCTGCAACCAGGAGTGACTTCCTCCCAGTCAAGGCTCTGGGATCTAGAGACAGGGGTCACAGAGGAGAGGTGAAACACAGCAAGCAGTCAAAGAGACACGAATCCACTCTATGCCCTGCGGGGATCTCATTCTACACCAGGCACTTTCAGCTTTCTGTGTCGTGTTTCCTTCTTGTACACAGGGGTTATTTATGCTCATCAGACACCTTTTTCTATTTAATTCTTCAAAGATAAAAATAAAGACACAGGATGGTATCCTCACAACCATTTCATAGATGAGAAAACTGACTCACTCCTGCCACCCAGCAGATAATGGGGAATTGGGGATTTGTGCCCAGGGCTAACTCAGCTCCACTGTTCAGTGAGACAGAGACTCAAGAGGCCCTTCTGCATCTAGTGCTCACAAAGGCAAAGGCATGGGAGAGAGAATTTGAGAACCAAAGGGGACCCTCAAACAAGACTTAGGGAGAGGGGCAGAAGGCTATGTGCTTTCAGTAGGAGCTATTCCATGCATTCTTCAGGCCCATTGGACAGAACTAGAGAGGACCAGACTCCCAGGATGAGAGTCCAGCATGGGAAGACCTGGAGTTCCCAGGGAGAGAGAACTGAGCTTGGGCTCCCATTGCACAGAAGAGACTGAGACCCAGTGAGCAGAAGTGACTCCTCTGGGAACTGGCTGTGGAACCAGAACCAGAGCTATGTCTCTGACCTTCAGCCTGGTATGCACACCCTTTCCACCACCCCTGCAACACAGGGCATGGATGGACATCTACCCCCACACCTGTTTCCAGCAACAGAGGTGGTTGTAACTGAAGCCAAGCAAGCAACAGTCACCAATCCCAGCTCCCCTTCTACTCTCCTCCCCCTCTCTCTTTCAGTTTATGTGTAAGAACATTTTGCCTGCATGTATGTACGTGCACTATGACATGCAATGCCTGTGGAGGCCAGAAGAGGGAGTCAAAGCCCCTGGAACTAGAGTCACAGATGATTGCTGGCTGCCATGTGGGTGCTGGGAACTGAACCCAAGTCCTCTGCAAAAGGAGGCAGTGCTCTTAACCAATGAGCCATCTCTAGTCCGTACCCCTCTTTTTTTGAAACAAGGTCTCCTTGTAGCCCCAGCTGGCCTGGAAGTCCCTATGTAGGCCAGGTTGGCCTTAATCTCACAAAGATCTGCCTGCCCACTGCCTCCCAAGTGCTGGGATTAAACGCATGAGCCACCACACCCAGCTCTCATTCGGTTTTTTGACAGTCTCCTGTAGCCCAGGCTGACTTTGATTCACCATGTAGCCAAGGATTAACCTGAACCCCTGAGTCTCCCATCTCTACCTTCTGCATACACTGCAGGTATGTCCCTGGCCAACTCCAGCAACTTTTACAGGACTTCGATCAGAGTCAAAAGGTGGAGGGAAAGAAGGGCTTGTAAGTTTCCCCTGCAGAAGCCACCTGGGCCTTGAGTTGAGACACCCACCATCCACAGTCACCACTGAGTTGGGGTTTCCTAAAGTCAGTGGGACAGAAAGTAAAACTATGAACCAGAATTGCAGACACTCCAGCCAGGGAAAGGCAGCCAAACCTTCCAGAGGGACTTTACCTAACAACAGCTCCATCTAGGAAAAAAAGCATAAGGCTTGTAGTCAACCAGCCCATAATACAGGTATCTAGCATGTCAGAAATCAAAGGGGCCTAAGATTCACCAATCTTATCTCCTTTTTATTTATTTTAGTTTTTTTGAGACAGGGTCTCGCTATGTAGCCCAAGCTAGCCTCAAACTTACCCCCCTGCCCCTACCTCCTGAGTACTGGGATTACTGGCATGCACCTCCAACAAGGGCTTTCAGCTCCCTTTGAGGGACACCTGACATCAGTCAGATAAAGTTCCTGCTCAAGGCCACACACATAAAGGCAGCTGCAGGTGTTTTTCTGTTCAGTATTGGAGACAAATACCAGGTAGTCTTTTTCTTTAAAAAAAAAAAAAAAAGAGAGAGAGAGATAACTCACAGACCACAAGATTCACTCTTTGAAAGTATACAATTTAGCGGTTTGGGGTATATTCGCAGAGTTGTGTGACCATCACCATGATCTAATTATAGGATATTTTCACCACCACAAAATGAAAGGTGTCACTTTGAATGGGAAGTACCCATACTCATGTAAATAACCCTCATCTATGTTCTGTAAGTAAGCTCAATAAATTTACTTATTTTTTTTTTAAAAAAAAAAAAAAAGAGAGAGAGAGATAACTCACAGACCACAAGATTCACTCTTTGAAAGTATACAATTTAGCGGTTTGGGGTATATTCGCAGAGTTGTGTGACCATCACCATGATCTAATTATAGGATATTTTCACCACCACAAAATGAAACTCTATCCCCATTAACAGTCACTTCCTATACTCCAACCCCCAAGCCCCAGACAACCACTAATCTACTTTTTGTCTCTATGGATTTGCCTATTCTGGAAGTTTCGTGTACAGGGAATCACAGGTATAGCCTTTTGTGTCAGTTTCTGGCACTTAGCACAATGTTCTTCTCTAGGTTCATCCATGCTGGGGCATGTGTGAGCACTTCACCCTTTTTTATGGCTGAATGATATTCCCTTCTTTAGATACATCACGCTTTGTTTACCCCTTCATCAGCTAATGGACACTTGGGTTGCTTCCACATTTTTCTGTCATGAATGAGGAGCTGTGAACAATACTGGGTAATTCCTATTTACCATTCCCACCCCCACCCCTCAACCTTACAGTCTCCAGCATTAGGAAGTGTGGGACCATAAGACATTAACCTAAACAGGCTAGGTGGACACTGCTTAGGTGAGACAAAGACTCAGAAGAGAAACTTAGATTTGACCCCCTAGTACTTTTTTTTTTAATTTGTACTCACTTTTAATAATGATATACCAATAATAACTAGCATATCATCAGTCATTTAAAAGAAAGACTTTACTTTTGCATGGTGTCTGGCTGTGCAAATTACTGATTAAAGAACACAGTATTCGGCCATGCCTAGAAGATGCCCTAGTACTTTTTAAGAGTTGTGTTGTTTTGAAAATAATGTATATGCTCTAAACTTTAACAGAACTCTCAGTCCCTGCAGGCTCCTCTCAAAGAACTGGACATAGTAGAGAGAAGAGAAAGACCCCAGAAACTCCAAGCCCCTCAGACCTCCAGCATGAAGCACCACCTTCAGGCATCTCCTCCAGTTTCCTTCAGAAATTGAGCGGTCAACCAGGGGGCTGAGAGCTCCAGGAGTCAGCCCAGGCCAGCCTAGCCCTGCCCAGACACCCTTTGGTCAGCCCTCAGGGGCTACTTAGCCTTCTGGGATCTAGACCTACATCTGAAGCCAGGAGAAAGTTCACAGCCTCTCCCAGAGCCTGGCGAGGTTTCTATTTGGGACGTTACTTTCCACCCCCGTCTTTGCAACCCTTAGCTTCTCGCAGTAGGACAGGATCCACACGCCTGCCTGGGCCTCCAAGTTTTCTCCCTCCCAAGGGGTGTTAGTGGGCGTAGAGGGAGCCTCCTGGGCGCCTGTCCCTTCCTCCCTCAGAATCTAAAAGCTCAACCCCAAGCTCCAGGATCGGAGGGCAGAAAAGGAGCTCCTGGCGCTTTAAGGCCTGCGGAGCCTAACTGCCCAGATTCCCCCAGCAGCCAGATAAACAGCGCGGCTGGCTGGCGCCAGCAAGAGGCAAACTGGGCATTATCACCCCTTCCTCACCTCCAAGAAGAGCGGGGAGCAGACAGGCAGGCCCAGGGGCCGCCGAGGGGGCGGGGCAGGGCCGGGAAGCCCAACTTGAAATTGATCTCATTTCAAAGGGATAATGCTAGGCCAAATAAAAGGAAAACTTTCTAGCCCATTCTAATTCCTCCAGGCCTGGCCTGGGAACCCTGTGTTTTCCTAGGCGGCCTCCTCCAGCCGTTTAGAAGTTCTCTCTCTCTCTTTCCCGGGCACAATTTGGATAATAGTAATTTACTGAATATAATTACAGAAAAAAAAGCAGGGAAGCAAAGCACAGGAGATTCATTCCAAAGTTAATGGATACTTGGAGGAGAAAGGCACTCTATAAACACAGGTCAGAACTGTGATTAAAGTATTCCTCCACATTTCCGTCCACATAGGCACCCAGTGGGCTCAGCACTGCCTTTGGTCCTCCCAGGGGCCTCCAGATGGTGGGGCCCATGACTGAGTCTGGCACTCGGGATAGAGCCTTCTGTACAGGACCCAGTTTCTCAGACAAGGACCCTGGAACTGGAATCAGCCAGTAGATCAGTGATTCGGTCCAACCCAAAAAACTTCACAGATCGGAACAAGAGGCCAGGGCCAGCAACTCTCCCCTCCTCACCCCGCAGGACTCCCGAGCAAGCTGAGGGTCTGAGCATTAAAGTCAGAACAGCAAGAGACCACACTGCCCACCTGCCCTGAGACACTGAGGCTTCCGGAGGACGGGGCAGGGCACAGATGTCTGCTGCTGGGTGTGTTCCCATGTACTTTGCTCCAGTCTTGTGCCTGACCGGAGTGTCCGTTTGTCTGTCTGCCCGTCTGCCTCATGCCCTAGCCCTCTCTTCAGAGCTGGAAAGTTGTGAGGAGCTATCTTCTTATCAGATGAGCTCAGCTGAGCCCCAGCTATGTGCCCGCCCAGTTCCTGGAGCCAGGCTGACCGCCAGGCACAGAAGCAGTGTGGGCAGCCAAGGGCTTCCCCTGTCCCCAGTCCTAGGGAAGGTGAGGGTCAACACAAATACTGGAAACTCTTGCCTCTCCCCAGAATAAGCCCTCAGAGCTGGCCCTCAGTGTGGCTGACTAGGCTAGCAGCTAGCAAAGGCAGGGAATAGATTCGTGTTCCAACACCACCCCGCCCCCATCACTACCACCAATAGTACCTCCTTCTGGGGGCAAGGAGTCAAGTTCCAATACTCTGTAGAGTCTAAAATGGTTCTATGGCCTGCTCCCCTGACACATACACACACTCATCCAAGGACACTGGCTGGGCCTGTTCTTACTGTAATTTTTCAGGTCTCCCTCAACCTCTCCCAGATCAAGGCCACCAAACTCAAACACTTGGGCCAACTCCCAGTGCCTGGAGTAGGAACTGTGTGAGTCCTAAGACCTCAGATTTTTTTGCTCCTCCCCTTCCCATCGACGCACCTGAGCAAGCTCTCTTTAGGTCCACCCCCTCCAGGTTAGAGGCCTGGCACTCTGGAGGTGATCCTGTTACATACACACCCACAGCCTTCCTGGACCACTGACCTGGGCCTGCCTACTTCCCTTCTTCCCACCTCCTTGGAAGATTTCTTGACAGCGGGGATTCCACCACTTATCCCTAAACACACACACACTCACACACTCACACACTCACACACACACACACACACAGAGCTCCTGGCACAAAGTGCTAAATTAACATTTGTTGGTACTTTGACTTGGCAACAGAAAAAAAAATCCACCAGGGCCTTATAGAAAAGTGGAACGTCCCCACCATCCATATCCCACTAGAAAAACATGGGACAGGGACAAGACAGCCACAAATAGGGACCACTTCCCAGAAACAGGGAGAGCAAACAAGAGAGAGTTTCCAGGGCTAGAGAAATGGCTCAGTGGTTAAGAACACTAACTGCTCTTACAGAGGACCCAGGTTAGATTCCCAGCACCCACGTGGTGGCTAACAACCGTCTGAAACTCCAGTTCCAAGGGATCTGACACCTTCTTCTGACCTCTGTGGGCATTGCACAACACAGGTGCGCTTACACACATGCAAACAATGCACTTATAACATAAAATTAAAATAATACAATATTAAAAAGAAAAAAGGAAATTCTTCCGGGGGATGCTGTCAGAAAGAGCCACCAGGCCCAGAAAGCCCAATATAAACTGCAAACCAGAGACAATCTGACATCCCTACATTGAGCCTGAAGGGCCCATCCGGAGCAGTCATCAGGAACCACCGGAGATAAGAAGCTTCTTTCTCTTCCAGCCACTAACCTCTTACCCCTTACCTACATGCCTGGGACAAATCCAGGTTCCTCAGCCCACCTTCTCCTTCCACATGGAGTCAGGAGATCTGAGAGTTGACCCCCAGGCTGGGTGCTCCCTCCAGGGAGGTCAAGCTGGAGGAACTCATAGTCCTCCCAGAGCCTGTAACTCTGCCAGCCCCATCTCTCCCAGCAAACTCCATAATGCAACGGATTCACATACACTTATAGGGAACGATACCTGTGGTGTGGAAAGTGTGTGTGTGTGTGTGTGTGTGTGTGTGTGTGTGTGCAAGTTCCAGGCTTGTCAGGGACCTCCATCTGTCCTCACCTCTGTTCCAGCACCTGGGCCAGCCTACATAAGCAAGTCTAGGGTAGGGTGTATGCAGAAAGGGGGTGGGGGGGCGGTGGGCAGCTCTCAGCGGTAACCAAACAGCGGGCAGCCTCTTACTCTCAGATGCCTCAGGACCCTCAACGCCAGAGGCAAGCTGAAACCCAAGAACTGAGAACTGTGATGATGGAGCCTGGCATTTACCCGAAAGGGATGCTTGAAATGGGAGGCACTGCCCGGCAAAAGCTGTGCTCAGAGTATACAAAGAGACAAATGGAACGTTTTGCAAACACTTTTTTGCAGTCCAGCCACGATTTTCCTGCAGGCAATTTCACAGCCAGAGTTACCTGGGTGCAGAAAAAGCCCAGCCTGGGTAGAGCTATACATAATCCTTACTGACTGGAGTGAACTTCCAAATGGAAGGTGGCACCTATTTATTTGGTCTTTCCCGCCTAGCCTGCTGTCCCTTTTCATTGAGCTGAATTGTACATTAAGTCCCTGAAGCTGCACACAGAAAGCTCAACGTGTCCCCTTCTAAGTTCGCGGGAGCCTTGGATGAAGTTGCCATTTGGTGTATGCGCGCAGACACCCATTCCCCAGCTCTCCTTCGCACTCCTCTCGAGGGAGTGGGGCGCCTCCCTCGCGGGCTGCCACCCGGGGAAGCATCCCGAGAGCTCCGGCCCGGCGGCAGAGAGGCGGCCCACCTCAGGAAACAGGAAGGTGGAGGGAGGCCCGAAGTGGAGGCCGAGGCGCCCGGGCGCGGTGCGCTCACCTGGCCCGCAGAGCCGGCTGAAGTGGTAGGGGTTGCAGCATACGGTGGGTCCGTCGGCGGCGGCGGCGAAGCTATGGCAGCCGCAGAGAGGTTTCAGCTCCACGGCGTGCTGCAGGTCGGGCCAGCGGAAGAGGCGGCCGAGCAGCAGCTGCGGCGGCGCGGGCTGGCCCGCCAGGCGGAGATCCGCACGCGGCACCAGAACGCAGCCACCCGGCACGCCACCGCGGGACTCCACCGCCTCCAGCAGCGTGTCCAAAGAGCGCTCCTTGAGCCGCTTGAGCAGCGAATACGTGACCGTCTTGAGTTCCTGCTCCAGCAGCAACAGCCGCGAGCGGGTTTCGCGACTCCGAGGCCCGCCGCCCTCCTCTGGCTCCGGGGACATCCCGGCCAGGGCATCGCCGGCGTCCCGGAGCGCGCCCGCAGCGTCCCGCTCCGAGAAGAGGCAGCAGGTCACCGTCTCGCAGTCACTCTCGGGCAGCCAGCCGGGGCCTCCCGGCTCCTCCACGTCCAGCGGGGAGCCCCCAGCGCCGGCCCCCGGCTCCGACATGGGCCTCGGGGGGCCACCCGCGCGCCGGCGCCTCCCCGCGATCGGGGCGCCTCGCTGTCCCACCGCGTCCCGGGGCCTCCGCGGGGCTACCGAGCGGATTTCGGGGCGGCCGCAGCCGGCGCCCTCTCGTGCCCGCGGGGCAGGCTCAGCTCGGCTGCCCAAGCTCCCATCGTTGTCTCCGCCGCCGCCGCCGCCGCTGCCGCCGCCTTCCTCCGGATCCGGGACCACACGACTTCGCCAAAGTCGCCGCACCAGCCCCGAGCGTTTGGACCTGAACATACGATATCCTTTGGCGCCGGGGGTGGTGGGAGGGGAGGCGGTCTCCGGTTACCGGGGGTCCGTTCCCTCAACGAGGCGCGGGCTGCGCGGGCCGCAGCCCCACATGAAGCTCCGCCGCGGGGCGCCGTGCAGACGGTGCACAGCCTGTCGTCGAAGGGGCACCGCAAGGCTGCAACATGAGGGGAACTCGCACCCCGGGCGGGACCGGCCGGGAACACACGCGCGCCGAGCCGCAGTCCGCGCGGGGCGGACGGACTACATGGACCGCGACGGGCCGGGGCTGCTCAACTCCAGCCGCCCTGGAACCTTTGAGGGGCCACGGGCGACGCGATGTTGGAAAGACCCCGCATGGGCCTGCGAGCCTTCAAAAGTTGCGTGGCTGGTCCACGAGCACAAAGCGCTCGTGCCGAACCCCCAAATCTATCTGCAGCACCCTGCCTTTTAAAAGCCAAGCGCTTCGCTACATGAGCTTTCCCTGCAGGATCTGAAAGGCAGGCTTGTGGATAAGTCTCAGGTCCCCGCAGGAAAAAAAGGAGGAAAAAAAAAAGAGGGGGGTGGAAAGCAAAGAAAAAAGATTCCAAACAAAACCCAAATGTTTGGATTTGCGCGCACGAAAAGCAACTCCGTCTCAGGTCCCGGGCGCTCCGGGCGCTTGAAGCGAGTCACTCCTGAACGCGGGTGTCAACACATTGAGTGGAAGCCGTAAAAAATATCCTAAATAGCTGCTGGGAATCCGTAATTAAAAATGCAATCCACCGAGGCAGAGGTCTCAGCCCGCCCCACGCTGCGCTCGGTTGCTTCGGGCGCCGCGGCTGCCGAGGTCGCCCCCCCTCCCCCCGCCACCAAAGTGCCTCCTGGTGGCCCCGCGGTCTCAGCGAGGTTTGGCGAGGCAGCGCCCGGCGGCTCTTTCTCTCCGCTCAGCTCCCTCGCTCGTTCCCCGGCTCGGCTCTCCTCTCTTTTTTGTTCTCCTCAAACGCACACTGAGGGCCCCCGGAGGAGCGCCGCGGAGTCATTGGCTGCCTCCCATCATATGCCAGTCTAGACACTTTGGCGGCTCCGCGGCGCTGATTGTTGCGCAAACAAGGTTTCAAGTTTCTTAACTCTTAAAGGAGAACACGTCCCATTGCAGGACCGGAGGCTCAGAAGGGGGCTGGTTCCCGGGGCGGGCCGAACCCCAGCTCCCGCCCCACGCCGGCCCCGGCACCCCAGCCCCAAGGCTGAGAGCGCTCGCGACCGGCTCTGTGGCTCGCGTCGCGCCTCGGGCATTGATACGAGTTGTCGCGCACACACACGCGTACACACACGCACACGCCCTGCTATCCTGTTCCCCCGTTCCCCTGCTCCGAGACCCGGACTCCAACGCGGCGCTTTGCCTCTCTGGCTTGGGCATAAACTTGCAAACATGCTTTACACTTTAGAGTTGGTCCAAACCCCCAACCTCAGCACGAGCTAATAAAAATGGGTGGGTGAGCGCCTTCCTGCCCCGCGTCTCTGGGGAGCCGGGGGCGGCCCGAAGCCTGGGGGAACCGGATCTTCCTTGACCCCGCCAAGGTTCCACACACCACCACTACCCTCTCCACCCAGAGTCGGAGGTGGCTCTGCTCAGCCACACACGGTTGAGAGAGCGGGACGTCTAGGTCTAGGAGACTCTAGGTTAGCCGGAGATAGAAACCCGGACCGGACGGGGCAGAGGAGGAGAGTGCCCTGGGATGGCTCCTCTCCGTCGCCCGGGCCCTCCCTGCGGGCTACCCGGAGTCTGGGGCCCTCCCTCCAGACTGGGTGCTTCCTTCTCTCCCTTCGTCGATTTACTTTCTCCCCTCTGTGAGGGGAGAGGATGGAGTGGCGTGCTTTCCCTGAGACGTTTCACTAGGAAAATGCCGATGACTTGGAGACCGGCTTTGAGGACCTGGCGCAGGAAGGGTTAAGGCCGCTCCGGCCCTGGAGCCGGCGCGGCGGGGTACCTCCTCGGGCGCGCTAGCACGTCCGAGGGTGGCAAAAGTTCAAGCTTGTAAAGTCCGGATTGGTCCCGCGCGGAAGGGAAAAAAGGCCTGGTCCCCCCTCCCCCTCCCGGGCGTGGCGCCGATTGGCCAGACCGCCTGGCCCGGCACCGCCCTCCCTCGGCGCGCCGCGGCCCCACCCCCGGCGCTGAGCCACGCCCCTTTCCGGGCAGGAGCGGGGCCCCGAGCTCAATGAAAGAAATTCCGCTGCTCTCATTGGCTCCGGGTTGGGCGCAGTCCCTGCGGGAGGAGGGGGGAGGGGGCGCGGACCTGAGATCCGGATCCCCAAACCGGTGCAAGGGGCTGATGTCGGGATGGTGGCGCACTAGCCCTGAGCCCGGTCTGAGTATTCGCTGGAGGAAGGGTAACTTTTGCTGGAAGGTCCTGGAAGCCTGGTCTGAACCTTACCTGGAGCCAGGTGCTTGCGCTGCGCTCCAGAGAGAGGCAGTTACCACACCCATCCCATGCTACTTGAGCCAAAGTGAAAAATGAATAACTGTTCTAGTCTGTTTCTCCTCTCAAGATGTGAGGAATGATGCTTATTTCACAGAGCCATGAAGATTCTAGGCAGTAGCACTTGGTAGAGTACAAATGGCAGGTGAACAGGTAGCACCCAGAAAAACCTGTCTTGTAGCCCCTTTCTCACCCATGGAGAAACTCATGCATCTTAAAATACGAAGAGGGCCCAGCGTGAAGAAGCACACTTGTAATCCCAGCATTTGGGAGGTGGAGTTAGGAGGATCAAGCTATCCTGAGATACATATTGAACTGGAAGCCAGCTTGGGCTGCATGAGACTGTCTCCAAAAAGCCCCCAAAATAAAATAGAAAAATGAAATACAGAAAGAAACTAAATATATTTTCTTTTATGAAAGTATTTGTTGCTTTGGCTCTGAGTTACAGTAATAGTGGACGCTTTTGGATCCTTACTGCAACATAGTAATGTTCTAGGCATTACTATCATTTAGTCCTTTGAGTCTCACTAACTAGTTTTATTGCTTTCTCTATGTACAGATGAGGAAACTGAGGCACAGAAAATTGCCCACTTAATTTGCTGTTGAAAATGTGTTCTACTAAGACACCAAACCCAGAGAGACATGTACCAGCTGTGGGCTCACCCCCAAAAGCAGAAGAGGTGTATGCCTCTGTATTGCCAGGCACACCTTTTTAGGGGAGTGATCCAAAATGTGGTCCAGGGACTACTTGTATTAGAACTGCTGGATGAATGTGTGATGGGTAGAGAGAAGCCCCAATTCCCCCTTACAACACTCTGGGATGAGGATGGCTGACAACACCTTTGCATAGAGACAGTACTGACGCACAAGACCTTGAACACAAGCCTATGTTAGTGGTGGAGGTGGGACTTGAACCCAGCCAGTTTGTCCTACTATGGGAAACAAAAGGCGCCAGCAATTTGCAAGGAGAGGGTTCCTTGCCTGTAGGCATCTGCCAGACCTCCCTCAGGGTAAGGATGGATGCTTCTAGAAATGTTCCCATAGGCATAGCCCTGGGGAAAGTATGTAAACTGAGGCTTCCCCTTACCTCCAGCCAAGCTCCCACATTGCCTGAGGCACAAGCATCTCTTCCTGCAGAACCCTGCAGTATATAGCCTTCCAGGCCAGGAGAGATTACAGCTGGGCCTCAAGAGGTCTGCTAACTTAAGCTGGGGGCTGGAAATGACTCAGTCACTAAAATGCTTGCCATGCAAGCCTGAGGATCTGAGTTCAGATCCCTAGCACCATGTAAAGACCAGGCACATCAATATCTGTCTGTAACCCCAGCACTTGGGGGATGGGGTTGGGGGGGCAGCGAGAGGCAGATCCCTTGAGCTCTCTGACCAGCCAGCCTAGCTGAATCCATGAGTTCCAGGTTTAGTAAGAGACCCTGTCTCAAAAATAGGGTGGAAAAGCAGAGCATGGTGGTATATGCCTTTAGTCCCAGCACTTGGGAGGCAGAGGCAGCTGAATCTTTGTGAGATCAAGGCCAACCTGGTCTACATAGTAATTTCCAAGCCAGCTGGGGCTACAGAGAGACCCTGTCTCAGAACAAAACAAAACAAAAACAAAAAATGGAAAGTACTGGAGAAAACAATGTTAACTTCCGGCCTCCACACACTTTGCACATGCACCTGTAATCACACAAGCACAGGAGAGAAGAATACATACACCATAAACACACACTAAATAAATAGGCTGCTAATATAAGCAAAATTTTGGCTTTTGCTCACTGGAAGATGCAGGGTGGGGTGGAGGTGAGGTGCTGTGGAAGGAATCCCTGAAGAGCACTACAACCAGAATCTGGTAGGCCTGCACTCAGGAAGGATGCTGCTTACCTCTTCAGTTGATAAGGCCTGGTTATCCACTGTAAAGTGGGACTAGGAATCATGCTAGAGGTGACTGCCAAAATTAAATGACAAGTGGTCCCAGAGTCAGTCCTTAGTGCTGAAGGGCTGCTGTTTCCCAGGACCCATCCTGCTTAGTGTCTGGTGTGCCTTGTAGCCACTAGAGGGTGTGTGCAGTGGGTCCCAACTGTGTAGGGCAGCAGCAGAGCAAAGGCTTCAGGACCCCTACTCTACTAGATTACCAGGCTCCAATCCCCCAGGATATAGGGAAAGGAGAGGAAGGAGGAAGAAGGGATCCAGTGGTGCATCCTCAAGGTTCTGAAGCTACCAGAAGTCACCCAACAAGAAGTGGTTCGTACCTGCCCCTCTATCCTCCCTGCCTCCCCTCAGAGCACCCTGCACTTCCTCTTTTCAACATCACCTCCATTCACAGCCATACAGTTCTGTGTTCTCCCCTCTGGAACACAGCCCACTAGGGCAGAGACAGGGAGCGTGTCAGGCTAGGCTACCCACAGCAGTATGGGTTCAGTCAGAGCGTTAGAAGCCCTCCTGTTTGTTAGTGGAGAGGCTACGTCATGTTAGATGGCACCTGCCTCATTTCTACACTCAGAATTTATGGGGTAAAAGTTAAAATTCTTCACTGAACTCCCTACTCCTCCCTGAGCCAAGCCCTCTTAGGCACCATCTCATCTCCTCCAGTCCTCCAGTTAACATAAGAAAGGTCTTGTTCATCCTAGACTTTTTTTTTCCAAGTGCAGAAAACAGAGGTTAAGTAATTTGTTTCTGATCCCATAGCCAGTAGGTGGCAGAGTTGAGACTAGATAAGTGAGCATCTTCAACACCTGGTTCTACAAAAGAAAATTGGTCTTTTGCTCTTGGAAAGAGTCCACACTAACTGGGACGGAATGAAGCATGAGACAGCAGAAATCAAGAAGCTAGAGCTTGCTTCTGGGTGGTGGGAAGGCAGCAGGCTCTTGGGACCACTGCTTACAGAGACATCATATAGGAAGCCTGGCCACCTCTTGCCATGATTGAATGCATTGACAGGAAGGCTTATCATAACTCACTGCACAAGAGACTGATGGGTACATCAGGGTCCTGCTTATTAACTTTATGGTTATGGAGACTAGCTATACACTCAAATGTTATAGACCAACCCGAGGGCCGACTGGCTGATGTTGTATGTCTCTTTGGAAGGCAAATCTGTTTGGCCAACACTACCCTAAATGGAGGAATTGGGGCAGACAACTCTTCAAGTCTACCCTTGAAAACTGCACATAATCATGAACAAAGCTTTGTGGTGTTCATTTGTACCTGCTAAGCTCCTGCTGGGTGCTCAGCCCTCTCGTTGTTGGGAACCTGCTATAAACAATGTCTAGAAATCCCAGAGCCCATGGAGCCAGGTGGGAAGAGACAGATCAGAACAAAATGATCTGAATGCAGAAAGTATTGAAAGCAAAGGTGCCAAGGTCAAAGGTAAGATATAAGAGGAGAGAGGGATGCTGGGAGAGAGGAGGTATGACAGGGAAGGGGACACTGAAGTGACATATGGTGGGGGAACCTGCCACACTCTCTGCTTGCAAAAAAGCTACAGGGATGGATAGGAGAGAGTACAAAGACTTTGTGACAGGAGCATGCCTGGAATGCACATGTTTGGAACATTCTAGGGTCTTCACAAGTGAGCAGGTTAGAGAAATACTAGGGGTAGATGTGGGTTCATACTGGCCATTACTGGGATTTTG